AGCAAGAGAGACAGAGAGCAAGAGATCTCCGGGACCAAGAAAACGTCCCAAGAAACACCATTCCCTTACTCGGCCTCCGTTCGCGTGCCAGAGTGGGGGGGGGTGGGGGGGGAGGGGTGAGTTCCAGTCGGGGATTCGGTCTCACGGAGGATGAGGCAGGGATCTCCGCGGTAGAAGGAGGGGGCGGAGGGGAAGGGGGGAGGAAGAGGGGAGTGATGGGAGGGAGAGAAGTAGGGGTGGGGGAGGAAGAGGGAGGGGTGGGGGAGGAAGAGGAGGGTGGGGGGGAAGAAGGAGGGGTGGAGGGGATGAAGAGGGTGGGGAGAGGAAGAGGGGAGGGGGGAGAGGGAGGGATAGGGAGAGGAGAAGAGGTGGGGGAGAAGAGGGGGAAATGGGGGGGGTGGGGGGGAAGAGGGATGGAGGGGGAGAGCGAGAAGGGGTGGGGGAGAAGAAGGAGGCGGAGGGGGAGAGAGAAGAGGGGTGGGGGAGGAAGAGGGGTGGGGGGGAGGGAAGGAGGGGTTTGGGGGACGGAGAAAGGAGGGGTGGGGGAGAGAGGGAGGGGTGGGGGAGAGAAGGAGGGGGAGGGAGAGAAGGAAGCGGGTGGGGGAGGGAAGGAGGGGTGGGGGAGGGAAGGAGGGGTGGGGGAGGGGGAAGGAGGGGTTGGGGGAGAGAAGGAGGGGTGGGGGAGGGAAGGAGGGGTGGGGGAGAGAAAGAGGAAGGAGGGGTGGGGGAGAGAAGGAGGGAGGTGGAGAGGGAGCGGGGGAATTAGGGGCGAGGCAGAAAGGGGGGGATGAAGAAAGAAGGAGGGGCGGTGGGGAAGAGAAGGAGGGGTGGGGGAGAGAAGGAGGGGTGGGGGAGAGAAGGAGGAGGGGGAGAGGAGAGGGAGGATAGGGGGGAGAGGAGAAGGGGGTTGGGGAGAGAAGGAGGGGGGGGGGAGGGAAGGAGGGGTGGGGGAAGAGAAGGAGGGGTGGGGGAGAGAAGGAGGGAGGGGGAGAGAGGGATAGGGGAGGGAGAAGGGTGGGGAAAGAAGGAGGGGTGAGGGGAGGGAAGGAGGGCGTGGGGAGAGGAAGGAGGGGGGGGGAGGGAAGGAGGGGTATGGGGAGAGAAGGAGGGGTGGGGGAGGGAAGGCGGGGGTGGGGGAGGGAAAAGGAGGGCAGGGGGAGAGAGAGGACGGGGTGGGGGAGGGAAGGAGGGGTGGGGGAAAGAGAAGGAGGGGTAGGGGGAGAGAGGAAGGAGGGAGGGGGGGAAGGGAAGGATGGGGTGGGGACGAGAAGGAGGGGTGGGGGAGGGAAGGAGGGGTGTGGGATGGAGAGGGGTGGGGGAGAGAAGGAAGGGTGGGGGGGGAAGGAGGCGGTCGGGGAGAGAAGGAGGGGTGGGGCGAAGGGAAGGAGGGGTGGGGGAGGAAGGAGGGGTGCGGGAGAGAAGGAGGGGTGGGGGAGGGAAGGAGGGGTGGGGGAGGGAAAGGAGGAGGTGGGGGAGGAGAATGCAGGGGTGGGGGAGGGAAGGAAGAGGAGGTGGGGGATAGGAAGGAGGGGTGGGGGAGAGAAGGAGGGGTGGGGAGAGGAGAAGGATTGGGTGGGGGGGAGAGAAGGAGGGGTAGGGCGAGGACGAAGGAGGGGGGGAGAGAGAAGGAGGGGGAGAAGGGGAAAAATGGTTTTTTTTTGAACGGATAGGGAGAGGAGAAGTGTGATGTATTAAAATTTCGAGAGGTATACATTACGGCGTGTCTTCCTCCCCTCCTACTTTTACTCTCTCTCTCTCTCTCTCTCTCTTCTCTCTCTCTCTTCTCTCTCTCTCTCTCTCTCTCTTTCCTCTCTCTATCTCTCTCTCTCCTCCTCTATCTCTATCTCTCTCTCTCTCTCTCTCTCTCTCTCTCTCTTTCTTTTCCTCTCTCTTTCTCTCTTCTTCCTTTCTCTCTCTCTTTCTCTCCTATCTCTCTCTCTCCCTCTCTATCTCTCTCTCTTCTCTCTCTCTCTCTTCCTCCTCTCTATCTCTCTCTCTCTCTCTACTCTCCTCTTCTTTCTTCTCATCGTCTCTCTCTCTCTCTCTCTCTCTCTCTCTTTCTCTTTCTCTTCTCTCTCTCTTTCTCTACTCTCTCTCTCTATCTTTCTCTCTCTCTCTCTCTCTCTCTCCTCTCTCTCCTCTCTTCTCTCTCTACTCCATCTCTCTCTTCTCTCTCTTCTTCTCTCTCTCTCTCTCTCCTCCAACCCCATCCCCATCCCCAACGCAAACCAAACCCGTCCTACCCCCCGTACCCCCTACCCCCCCAGAACCCGCCCCGACAGAAACTCAATTTGGAAAGGCCGGTCTCGCTGCCTTCCTATCAGAGCGGAGTGAATGCTCGGATGAGGCCGGTTGCAAAGTTTAATGGTCACTTACTGGTCAGCTCCTTAACCGGTGGGAATTCTGCTCATTGGGGGGGCCCTTGCGCTGTCTTTAACTCGAGAGGATGGTGTATGTGTTTTGTGTGTGTGTGTGTTGTTTGTAGTGCTGTGTGTGTTTT